TGTTTCCCTGTCTCGGCAACAGATGTTCACACGGCCGTCATTCTCACACATGGGGCGGGTGGAGACATGAACTTTAAACATCTGGTTTCTCTGGCACATGCCTTGGCTTCAAATGGCTTCCTTTGTTTCCGTTTCACATGTAAAGGTTTAAACTTGTCTTATAAAGTAAAGGCTTACCGTGCTGTGTGGGTGAGAATTTCCATTCATTCCAGACATAGCAGTCACTATCCATACAACTATCCTGTGCAACAATTAACAGATTCAGAATCAGTAGGATGTTTTTACACACCTGTGTTTGTTCCCCCTAGGACTTCTTGAAATCTCTACAGAAGTTTACCATAAAGCACATATTTGTTGGAGGTAAGCAACACTAGTGGGCTTACATGTGGCAATTTACCATGTATTTAAGTACATGTTGAGTTTAATTTCTACGGTGTGGTATGAACAATACAATAATAGACGGATCAATAAAGTTACTTATAATGGGTCATATTCTGAAAACTGCATGCACATTTTATAATGTTTGTAATTATAAATTCCAGTATTGGTTAATCTGCCCTTAAACATTTCTAGGTTTTGCTAAAATTGTGCATTGTTAAAAAAAAAAAAAAAAGAGAATACAATATGAAATACAGCACTCACTGGGTATGATATCTTGTCTCGAAAATCCACAGGAAGGTCGATGGGATGTCGTGCTGCTGCAGCTTTAGCCAGGCAGCTGAGCGATGACTCCCGGGATGCAGTGCAGGGTGTCATCTGCCTGTCGTTCCCTCTGCATCCTCCGGCACAGACGCATGCCCATCTGCAACGGAGTGAGGATCTCAGGGGGCTACCGGAGCACCTGCCTGTGCTGTGTGTGTCAGGCACTGAGGACATCATGTGTGACAGGGTGAGGATGGTTGGGGGGGGTGGGGCTTTTTCCAGGCAATTTCTTATACAGTTGTAGGATTTTCAATTTGTATTTACATAAGTGTGTATGCATTAAGTTAACTTTTTTTTCTACATTATTTATATTTATTGATCATTCCATTGTTTTGCATTTTTTAATTCTTATTTTGCTTTTTGCTTGCTCAGGTCCTTTTTGAAGGGACGGTAGAAGAAATGAAAGCTAAAGTTGAGGTTTTCTGGCTGAAAGGAGGCAGCCATGGACTGGCAGTGAAGGGAAGGTCGGAGGATTCTGTGCTGGATGAAGTGAATCTACAAGTCATCACCTGGATGAGTAAACAGGGAACATAGATTCATTCAGTTATTTCTTATTTTCTTTGTTCTGGTTACGTTCTTTTTTAATAGTCAAATAAAGGATATATACTTTTACACAGTGTGGACAAATTGTCTTATAAAAAAGACAAAACATTCTAGAAAACTAAAGGGTTTTGTTTTGTCTGTTTGTTTTTTCATCCACAACCCAGCCAGAAACTCTTCAAAATCTGACACAAATAATACTGTGGTACTTTACATTGACTCTGCAGCACAATTTCAAACGATATACGATCTCTAAATTGTATAACCAGACTGGGACACTGATTTTACTCTATTTATCATATTTCCAGTACAAGAGATACCATTTAGAGATATGTCCTTACAGTTTACAAGTGCCTTAGTTATCATGGCAACTGACCTCAGTGAGAACTCAAGCTAGTTTGTGAGACCAGAAACCCAGGGTTGATCATGGGATTAAGATTAATCCCAATTTAGTTGTTACATTTCCTTTTTGTTCTTTAAAAAAAATATATAATAAAATACAGTTTACATTTTCAAGGTTGTTTACCAGAAAATCCACTTCCAGAGGTTGGCCCCTTGATTTCTCTCTCTAAAGACATTCTACAAGTACATAACCTCAACACAAGATAACACGTAATGAAGAGAAGAACAATACATTTTTATAACGCTAGGGGGGAATAAAGATCTATATTTAAAAAACGTAATACAGTACAACTGTATATGGTTTGAATTGCTTTTTATCTTAGGGAGTGTTGAATTGAATTCATCTATTGTTTAAACATATTGCTTAAAAGTATTAAAGCATGGTTTCTTGAATTTACATTTATGGATACTGAAATTCCCATATTAAAATTGCATTAATCGTGTACTCATAAGAGTTTTACTGAGTCCTATTTTTTAGGACACCAAACAACGCATTTATTCAAAGCATCAATATTGTCATTAATAAAAGCACATAGGTTTTACAAGAACATCTTCACAATTGGGCAATGCCAAAATTAATGCACACCAGTTCCTGGACATTCATAACAGAAACTACAACTCAAATCAATAACCTCCAAATTCCATAACTTTATTGGTGATTAAGTATCGATGAAATTCAAACAGCATAAACAATACTATTAGTACTATTGTCCGACCTGCAAATGAACCGCAATGTGTTGCCTGTGCCTTTAAGACAAACTCTGACGTTTATATTTAGTCGAATACGATTGGCTGGCTCACTTCCGTATGTTTCTTTCTGGGGAAGCATGGCAGGAGAACCGTGGAACAGGGTAAACATTGCTTTTCCCGGTGCCGTTTCTCGTGTCCGTGTACACTTCAGTTCAACTACAGGTACGATTCATTGTGCGGATGCTAATTAGCGTAATATGCCGATGATAGACCAAAGACACTCTTTATATATGCCGCTTGCAACCCACGTGTCAGGGGCGTGAATCCACCCTCAGCAGTGATGATGAGTTGTACTCTATCGTTGAATGAACTGTGATGTTTGAGTGTTGTTGCTGTGACGCAGGTTCAAGTGTTAAAGTCCTGCTGGTGGAGAATGACATGGTGCTTAAGCTTCTTCGGAGTGAGTTGCTTCAAACGGAGGTACGAGTTCTCTACGAGCTGCTGTACATCCTAAACAACAGCTCCAGAGGCAACAAGACGTTCAAAGGCTTAAAGCAGGTGAGGACTGTGGATAAATCCTCCACATCTGGCCACTACATGATATGTGATTGTTGAACTATGTTAGTCCTGGTGATGAGAAACATACACAGAAGAGGTAGACCTGACAAAGCTAAAGAACTAACTGATGTGACTTCCCTCCCACAGGTTGAACAATGCATAAACAGGCTGAAGAGCATGAAGCTTGATGTTGCTCTGCAGGACCTGACAGAGTTGTGTCCCAACAGATTTCAAAGGTACATAAAAAGCTTTACTGGCTCAGTGTGATGTGCTGTTTCTGACAGATGTTTGTGAACCTAAAGGCCAGCGTCAAACGCACTCTTTGCTGTTTAATTTCACACAGTGTGTGTGTGTAAGCCTGCATGGATTAACTGCAATGAACTATAAATAAATAATTCACTGGAGCTTGATCGACCTATGCAGACCAATAATGTCCCCGGTACCGATCTTCCACATCAGGTCAGGAGGTCATTTCTATGCTGTAGGTTTTGTCTGGTATACTAAAATTCAATAGTGTTCAAAATACATTTAAAATAAGTTAATAATATAAAAGGAATTGAAACTTTACATTTCAAATTTTTGAAACGGATAATAAAAAAACAACGTGCGCTGTGATGTGTGCATTACAGAATTTTAAGCTGCAAACTAACACGGTTTAACTGATCTGCCATAGCGGAGTAAGGAGTCAATAGCCACCCAATGGCTTCAGCTCAATACTCTCCTCAGTGCTTAAAACCTGTTAAAAGGTTTTACAATGAGATTGTTACTGCCAATGACAGATATGTCACCATGTCATTTTTACAGCAGTGAATCATTTTTGTGTGTGTGTGTGTGTGTGTGTGTGTGTGTGTGTTTAGAGAACTGAGCATCAAGGCCGGGGAGTGTGACGTCCCCAGTCAGCCCATGCTGGAGTGGCTCTGTCTCAAAGTGCTGGGAGCCGGCCAGCTGATGAGCTGCACATTGAATCGCTGCAGCAGAGCTTTCATGTATCCTTTTTTAAAGGTGGTACTGTTCAGAAACATGCAGAGTAATCTGACAGAAATCTTTGTGAATCTCTTTGTCTGAATTAAGTGCGATAGTCTTTGCTTCCTTGATGCCACCTCGTGGGTTTGTCCTTAAGAGATTTATGCTTCAGACTCTCAAAGCAGCAGATGAAATGGGAGGAGTTTGTTATCTTGAATATGGTGATAACCAGCATGCTCAGTCGTCTCTGGTGAGTGCGCTCTTCCTCATGGTCACATCTGAAAGGCTGAGAAATGCAAAACGATGCAGAATCCTACCGCACAAGGCAGCTTTGCATGTTGAGTTTAAAAATACATCTGCATTTGAAATGTTTGCTTTGTGTTTGTTTAGAAACCACTGCCTTGCTCAAACCTAAACCCGTCTTCCTTGTGCTTCCTCAGGGTGATATCCCGCGGTATCCTGGTCAGCCTGTCCACTCTGTATCAGCAGCTCCTGGAGCTCCTCAGAGAAGTGGCCAACGCCCAGCCCATGCCCTTCCTCAAAGACTTCTCCCTGCCAGCAGATATGGCTCAGTTCCTGGGTCCTTCTGATGCATTTCTACTGACCAAAAAGCCAGCACATGGCCAGAAGCAGCAGAGGAGGAAGGAATCTTCTGCTAAAGTCAAGAACCAGGGAGAGAAGAGGAAAGTCAAAGAAGATATGGGTGTTTCTATTGAAAGAGGTGTGGGGCTTTTTCATTGTTCTGTATTCTGTATGACTCAGTAGAGGCAGGGCAGTAAGGTGACGCTGCTATAAAGGACACAAGTCTTTCACAGACAAACAAACTGCAGATTCTGACAAATCACTCAGCCTGTGATCTAGGTGGTTTGCTTTCATAGCTACTGATAGTTGACAAAATAATCGTAAATAAACGTAGCCTTGTGTGATTTGATGCTTTTAGCAAAGCTGTATATTTACCCAGTGCTTCACTTTCTCATCTCATTTACTATGCAGTTGGAACAATGTTACAACAGTATTGACGTTATTGTTATTTTTTCAGGTATCGGTCTTGACACTGACATGAAGCCTTTTCTCAAGGTTTTCAGGGACTTTATTAAAGTATGTGGGAAAACAAAAAAAAAAAAAAAAAAAAAAATATATATATA